TGGCGGCACCTGGGACTTGGCAGTGGTCTTGCCCTTGCCTTTGCCCTGGCCTCCCTGGGCCTGGCCGCCCTTCAAGCCCTTCCGCCCGCCTTTTCCACGGCCTCCCATCAGGTAAACGAATAAAGAGGAGGTAGTGTGTGATCCCCCTGCGGCCCTGCTTTGGCCCAGCCTCCGCCTTGAGCCAAAATGGCTACGGCAGAATGGAGGATGGGAGGTCCTCTTCTTCCTCCTCCTCCTCCTCCTCCTCCTCCTCCTCCTCCTCCTCCTCCTCCTCCTCCTCCTCCCTCTCCTACCTATGGTAGTGGTGGTGGAGAATCGGCACATCACCAGGGTCCCCTGGCCGACAAGACCCCCCAGGGGCCCAATCTGCTTTTCTTCATGCGCGTCTAGACATGAGGCGCTCCAGGAAGGGCTTTGCCCTCGAGGATCGAAGGAGGTGTCATCTCTTCCATCTCTTCCTCAGCGGAAGGGGCGGAAGTAGAACAAGGCCGCCTCCGCCAACGCAAGGGTGGCAGAAGGTGGCGGAAGTAAAAAAGAGGTCAGTGTTTCCCGAATCGGCGTTTCACATACACATATATATATATATGTATATATATCTATATATATTTGTATATATATATATATATACATATGCATGCAAGATTTGAGGGCTCGCTTCGCTTCCCCTCAAATCTTGGTCCTGCGTCCGGGCACCGTTGGGGGACTGCCGGGGGACGCATCGGAGCGGAGAGCTGATGACCAGGAGGCAGGTGCGGGCAATGGGCCGGATGGAGCCTGTAGGCATGTTCACGTCATGGGAGAAGGATATGGTTGAGACGGTGGCGAAGGTAATGACTTCGATACCAGGGTGAGCCCTCACCCCTACAGGGGTGACGCGTATGACGTCATGACCGCCTGTGGGGCGAAGGTCATGGCAAAGCGTGGCATTTGCATAGAACTGTGATTGTATGTTTATGTTTTTATATACATAGATACATTGACGTATATGTATAGTAATGTATACACATGTGTAAATGTATGTTTATATCTACATATACGTGCATGTATGTATACACATATGAAGATGCATAAATATATACATATATATACACAACTACATATGTCTATATGTATGTGTGCATATGTGGATGTATATATATATATATATGTATATGTGTGTGTATGTATAAATATGGCTATGTATAGATATACATATATATATATATGGTATACATAGTATACAAATGTAGTTACCTTCGGCCCATCCAGTCACCGTGCCTGAGCTGTCATGTAGGTCAGGGGCCCCGTGGCTGCGCGTGCGGATTTATTGGGAGACCTCTCGGAAGCCTCTTGGAGGTGGTTTCGGGGCCGTTTCGGGGCGTCTCGGGAGGCCTCTTGGGCGCCTGTTGGGACTTGACTTGGGCCTCTCGGGGCTTCGCGGGTACCCTTGGGGGCCTCTGGTGGGCATTGCGGGGGCCTCCTGGGAGGAGTTTGGGGCCACTTTGGGGCAGAGATGTCAGGCCGTGTTCCCCATCTTGGGCCCCTTTGGGTGCTGTCTTGTGGGCCTTTTAGGCCCCTCTTGGAAGCTTTTGGGCAGGTTTGGAGCGATCTTGGGCGCTTCCGGGGCCACCGTGGACGCCCTGAAGACCGAACAACTGGAATGCTAACACCAGGCTCAACACATGGACTTTGACGATTTGGGTTTCTTGGGCCGCCCTCCAGGGCCCCCCAGGCCGCCCAGGACGCGCCCAGGAGGGCTCCAGGACGGTCTTCGGGCCAATCTTAGGCCAGGTTGGGCATGCAGGTCCCGAAACAAGCACTCTTGGCACGTGGGCTTGGCACGTCCTGGCTGTGTGAATGCATGTTGGCTGTATACACATGTATACACATATGTATAAACATATATACACAGATACGTAAGCATATACATTTATACATATACACATGTATACATATATACATACATACACATATATTTACACATGTACATGAGTATATGTATACATATTGGCTGTCCGACCGTCGCCGTACTGAATTGTTGCTCGGTTCGGTGTTTGGTTGGGTTGGAACGGCTATGGCGCGCCGTCGTTCGTGAGCTTCGAGGTCAGATCTACTGGGGCCTGTCAGGGAGCCTCTTGGGGCTTTCGGGCGGCCGTTTTAGGGGCCTTTGGAGCCTCGGCCTCGTTGGGCAGTGGGCTCGAAGTGCCAATTTGAGTTCCCCATATTGGACCCCTCTGGGTACCATCGGAAGGCTTTCTTGGACCGTCTTGGACGCTTCTGGGGCCGTCTTGGGGCTTTCGTGGGGCGTCTCGGAGCCCTCTTCAGGGCCTCTCGGGCTTTCTTGTGTTACGGGAGGTTTCTTGGGCCGTACTGGACGCCGTGAAGGCCGAAAAGCTGCAGATGCTACACATGTACGACGCCCTGTGATAATATTTGCCTCTTGGAGCTTTTTGGAAGGTTCGTGGGGGCTTCTTGGGCCGTCTACGAGGCCTCTTGGGCCGCCTGGGGCCCGAGCGTCTTGGACCGATCGTTCGGCGACTCGGAGCCCTTCTGGACCGTGTGGGAAGCCTCATGGGGCCCTCTTGGCCCGTCTTGGGGCCACTCCAGAGTGCTGTCAGGGGCCCTCCACGGGCGCTCTGGGCACAGCCTGCCCGCCGGGCCCGAAACCAAGGCAGCTCCGTTTTCTATGCAACGAGGTACCCACTACGTTAGTATAGCATCGAATGGCCTTCGGCCCATCCTGCCACCGTGCCTGGGCTGTGGGTATGAAGCATATTGGATGTTCGTTGAGATCTCGTGGGAAGCATCTCCGGGGCCTCGGAGGCGCCTCTTGGGGGCCTCTCGGGGCTTCCTTTGGGCCTTTGGGGGGCTCGTGGGGCCTCTTGGGATCCTTTAGGGAGCCTCCTGGGGCGTCCTGGGCGGAAGGCTCGGATATTCAAATCGTGCTCCCTTCCTTGGTCCACTTTTAGGGCCATTTTGGGCGCCTCTTGGACCGTTGATGGGCCCTCTTCAACCAACCTGGCTCTCAAGACTCCAACGATGCCTCCAAGATGCCCCCCAAGAGGCCCCAAGAGGCCCCCAGACTCCCCCGGGGGACCTCCAGAAGGTTCCTACAGGCTTCCAAGAGCCTCCCAAGAAGCGCCGCAGCAAATCCCAAGAGACCTCGAGCATGCCTTTCTCTTGTCCCCCTCCAGCCATCAGCGGCGGCCGCAGCTCCCAGACCTCACGCGCTCGGGACGCGCGCCCCGCGACGCGAGGACGCTGGAGCAGTCGGGAGGGCCCGAGGGAGCACCGACAGGGGGCGCGAAGGTGTCCCGAGAGGCCCCATACGCCCAAGCAGGGCCAGCGGCCCCAGGAGCACACGCATCTGATCGCGCGCGAGGCGCGCGTGGTTCTAGTAGCCGTACGCCGTACATGTGTGTACGTGCGTGGAGTGGCCAGCGTGGGGCCCAAACAGGGAGGTCTTGCATTGTGGTCGTCCAGCCCAGGTCGCACAATCTATGCATTATGGTGCATGCCATGCGGTGGCTGCCATGCGGTGGAGGTTTTGCGGTGCCCATGCGTGGTGCAAGCGATGCTGCGCACGCAGCTTGATGCAGGCTGTGTTGTGCAGGCTGTGTGGCAAAATGCGTGCGGTGCAGGCTGTCTGGTGAAAGCTGCGTGGCGCCAGCTGTGCGGTGCAAGCTGTGCGGTGCAATCTCTGCGGCCACCCATCGCACGAGGCGCCCACGGGTGGGCGCCAGGCGAAACTTCGGCGCACCCACCCCGCGGACGAGGCGCCAACGAGGCGCCCACAGGCGGGCACCAGGTGAAACCTCGGCACCCACGGACGGCTACGGGAGGCCACCAGGCGAGAAGACATTGGCATCCCCACCCAACAGGGGGCGCCTACGAGGCGCCCCCGGGCGCAAGGCAACCAGGAACCAGGCGACGCCCAGCACGCCCATCCAAGTCTTGAGATAAGCGAAATACGAACCCCCAAGTGCAAGCTGCGTTTGTAGGGGAACAAAAAGTGGCATAAACATAAGAACTCGGAGGTCCGCGCGGATTTCTCGGATCGGCGCTGGAAACCCCTCTCTGGCGCGCGGAGCGCGCCAAGGGCGGCGCCGGAGGCGCCGCCGGGGGGGCCCAGCGCCGATCCGAGAAATCCGCGCGGACCTCCGAGTTTTTATGTTATGTCACTTTTTGTTCCCCTAGGTTGGGGAATACGAAGGTGTAGTTACAGATGTGCACATATACACGCATTCATAATCGGAGGTACGGGTGGGTGCGAGATCAAAGTGGAACGGAGGGCCCCCCACCGGGAAATCGGTTTCGGGATCGGGATCGTGTCGTGCGTGCGGGCGAGGCGAAGCTGCGTGGGCGGGCGAGAGGAACGACCCCGCTGTGGCCAGGGCGGGTCAAGAGCCGTTGACCGCCCCTCCTCCCTCCCCGGTGGACGGGCGGTGGCCAGGTTGTCCCGCCGTGGTGTCACGTCGCTGTCCGCCTCTCCCCCGAGGCGGGCGGGCGGTGGCCAGGTTGTCCCGCCGTGGTGTCCCGTCGGCGTCCCGTTGGTGTTCCCTGGCTGTCCCGTCGGTGTCCCGTCGCTGTCCCGTTGGTGTTCCGTCGGTGTCCTGTTGGTGTCCCGTCGGTGTCCCGGCCGTGGCCCGTTGCGAGGTCGATAGTCAGACCGATGGTGAGATCGATTGTGCGATCCATAGTGAGATCGATTGGTGCCCCGATGGTGTCCCGACGGTGTCCCGTGGTGTCCCGTCAGTGTCCCGTCGGTGTCCCGTGGTTCGTTCTCCCCCCACCAACCTCCTTATCATCCGAAGGGTGGTCGTATCGTCGTAGACGTGTATGTTTATATAAGTAACAAAAAAAGCCATCAAACCTCGATCATCGAGCTGGGGCTCAGGGAACGCTGAAGCAAAGCAGCACGGGAGGGAAGTCCGAGCTCGCTCGGTGGGCTCCGAGCCTCGAGGTCTGCGCGGGAGGGGAGCCCAGGCTCCGAGATCCAGAGGCTGGTCCGGTACACGCTGATGGGCTACACCACGCCGCTCACCGAAGAGGCACCCTCGAACGCAGGCCTAGAGGTTGACACCTACACCAATACCGGCGGTGTGCCTCCACCGAGGGAAGAGGATCCCGATCTCGGTGATGGTGGTAGTGTTCTGACTTGCGAGGTGACCGAAATGTTGCCACCAGCACCGAAATCCAGGATCATCTTACTCCTGTGGAGGCAGCCCCCTATGCTGGTGTCGGTGCCCATTTCCAGGCCTCCAAATCGAAGAGAAGGATCGAGGTGTTTCTGTGTTCGGGGCAACTTGTGTGTTGCCTCTGGAGGCCTCCAGGGACCTCCAGCACCATGCTTGGAGGGCTCCTCGGCAAGGCGTTCCCAGAACCGTCCACTCGGCGGCGAGCGAGGGGGGAGGTAAGAAGGAGAAGGCGTTCTCAGAAGGCGGCGGGACTTCTCAGTTCTCAGAAGACCTCGCGCCTTCCGAGAAGTTGTTTTGCGTGTTTCGGGGAAGGCTCACAGAACTTCTCAGAAGGCCAGGGGTCTTCCGAGCCTTCTGAGAAGGCCCGCCCCTTCTCACTTCCCCCCCCCGGCTCGCCGCCGACTCCAGCACCATGTTTGGAGAGCTCCTCGGCAAGGCGTTCCCAGAACTATCTGCAGGTCTTCGGAGGAGGAGGAGGAGGCTCCCGCGTGCTGCCCCACGCGAGGCCCTCCAGAAATGCTTTTTGATCCAGAGAGCTGCTGCGCCCCGCGTTGACACCGGCGGCGAGGGGACACCGTCGGCAGCAAGCTTCGGCTTTTGGCATCGCTCGGACGTGTGCGCTCTTTCTCGGCAAGGACCATCGAGGAGCATGTGAGCCACGCGAGGCCCTCCAGAAATGATTTGATCCAGGTAACACCGTCGGCAGCATGCTTCGTCTTGGCATCGCTCGGACGTGTGCGGTCTTCCTCGGCAAGTGCCATCGAGGAGCATGTGAGGTCATCTTGCGACCACTGCGCGCACGAACCCCCCAAAAAAGCGCACGGGGGAATGGACGTCCCAGCGATGGCGAGTCGGCAGCACGCTCCGGCGGCAGACGGGGACAAGGGAGCATCCAGGATCGGCAACGATCACACCAACGCCGACCCCGTTTCAGGCTCGGGCAAGCTTGACCAGCGAGGTCACACCGAGAGTCGGCAGAGTCCTCGGCGAGCGTTTGAGAGTCGGGCCGAGGTGTGAGGTCGAGGACGGTTCGGGGAGGGTGCCCTGGTGTTCTTCGTGGTTGTTGGATGTGCTTGTGCGTCCTGGCGATGGTGCCCTTGGATGTTATATTTGTTTTGGCCGGCGGAGGGTCTCATGTTCCTGAGGGATTATATTATGGCCTAGGTCCGATTGTAGTGTGTTCCGTGTCAGCACTCTCGATTGAGCACTGCAGGAGAAAGCGTCGATCGTTGATCATTGTTATCGTTGTCGTTGTGACCGTTGTCCTCGACCAGCAGATCCTCGAGCCCTCGACCCGCAGGTCCCTCGATCCTCAAACTCCTCGAATCCTCGATCCTTCTCGATCTCGTTATCCTCCTCCTCCTCCTCCTCCTCCTCCTCCTCCTCCTCATCATCATCATCATCATCATCATCATCATCATCATCATCCCTGTCCTCCTCCTCCTCAGCATCCTCCTTCTCCTTTTCCTCATCATAATCATCAGCAGCAGCATCAGCAGCATCAGTATCAACATCAGCACCATTGTCATCATCAGCATCGTCATCATCAGCAGCAGCAGCATCAGCATCAGCATCAGCATCATCAGCATCATCATCATCAACAGCAGCAGCATCACCATCATCATCATCATCATCATCATCATCATCATCATCATCATCATCATCATCATCATCGTAATCGTCATCAGGTGACGCTCTGCCTTCCTCTCCTCCTCCTCCTGCTCCGCTTCCGCTTCCCGAGCTCATCCGGCCAGTGCTTTGCGGAGATCCAGCTTCTCGCTCTCGTAAGATCGAGCAGCACATTGCACCTTGAGGCCTGTAGCACCTGAGGACGATACGATGATGACATCCATATAGTAATGTCTTATAAGGTGGACTGGTCCGCTTCCTCTTCCTCCTGCCGCAGGGCCACGGCGCGTGTCCAGGTCAAAGCTCTGGCGCGGAGGCAGGCGAGGCACACGGCGAGATGGGCCCCCCTTGCGGAATCCGCATCCTCCTATCATCCTCCTCCCTCCGCGCTTCCTGCCCAGTGGGCGTCCTAAGAGCTCGTCCTCGAAGACCTTCGCTGCGGAGGCCGTGACGGCGGGCTTGGCCGTCCGTGAGGAGGGGTCGAAAACGGCCAAGCCCATTGTCATGGCCTCCGCCGCGAAGGTCTTCGAGGACGAGCTCTTAGGACGCCCACTGGGCATGAGGCGCGGGAGCAGGAGGACGAGAGGAGGATGCGGATTCCGCCAGGGGACCCGCTCTCGCCGTGTGCCTCGCCTGCCTCTTCACGCCGCGCACTCGGGGGGGGGGGGGGCCTCTCCAACGAATCGCAAGTTCGAGGCAGACCCGCCCAGCTCGTTTGGGCGAGGGGGCGCCGCAGGACGCGCAGGTTGCCCATCGCCTCCTCGCACGAGTCCAGGTGTCATCGTCCTCCTCCCCCTCCTCCTCGTCCTCCTCCTCCTTCACCTCCTCCTCGTCCTCCGCCCTTACCTCCTCATCCTCCTCGTGTTCTTCCTCCTCCTCCTCCGCCTCCTCCTCCTCCTCTTCCTCCTCCTCCTCCTCCTCCTTCTCCTCCTCCTCCTCCTCCTCCTCCTCATCCGTCCTCCTCCTCCTCCTCCTCCTTCTCTCCCCTCCTCCTCCTTCTCCTCCTCCTCTTCCTCATCCTTTTCCCCACCCCCCCTCCTCCCTCCTCCTCCTCCTCCTCCCCTCCTCCTCCTCCTCCTCCTCCTCCTCCTCCTCCTCCTCCTCCTCCTCCTCCTCCTCTCCTCCTCCTCCTCCTCCTCCTCCTCCTCCTCCTCCTCCTCCTCCTCCTCCTCCTCCTCCTCCTCCTCCTCCTCCTCCTCCTCCTCCTCCTCCTCGGTTTCTCGGTTTCTCGGTTTCTCCGCAGTGGTCTCCCCAGCGCGCCCTGCGCCCGGCGGGCGCTCCGGCCGCGGGCCGGGCGGGGGGGGGCGCGGGGAGGCCGCACCTGGCAGGGGCACAGGCCGGAGTCTTTCATCCGCCAACCGCTGCCAGGTGCTCAGCGCCGCCCTGCACAGCGTACCAGCGCCCAGCCTACATACTTGATGCAGTCGGCGGTCGCTACCGGGCCAAGTAGGGCCAGGAGCGCCGCCTGCTGCGTCGTAGGCGCCCCGCCGTCGATGGATGTCCACAGCTGGCGTCGTGACGCCGAGGTGTGCCCGCACGCAAGCAATGCATGGGAGACGTCCACCTCTGTGCTGGGACATGCACCACAGCGCGGCAGAACCAGCGGCGCGTCCTCACCACCTAGGACTGGCAGCGGCCAGCGGCCAGTCACCCTGCATACTGCCCAGAGCCTATAATACAGATTTCCTCCATGATCTTCAAACATGTCTTGCTGCGTGCCTCGCTGCATGGCCGGCATGAGGCTGCGAAACCGTAGCCCCAGACATGGCAATGGACGGTCAGCCGCCGCATCTACCGATGGTTGGTCATAGGCGCGCAGGGCTGGCAGTGCCACCTCTTGGCGGTACCGCCGTAGCAGCGACCTTCGGGATGCTGGCGAAGACCGGGCTGCGACCACCTCCTCTGTGAACCCCTCATGGGCGCTGATGTCCCGAATGGGCCCGTTCGGCATGCTGGCCATGAGCTGGCCAGCCGCACGCCACCAGGAGGGCGCCGGCGACTGGCGCGCGGCATCCCGCATCGCCGTCGCCGGGTGTCCCTCCGGGAGGACCCAGAGCCTGGCGCGTGCCATGACCACCTGCAGGATCATGAGCGTTCCAAGCCTCAGGTCCCACTGGCACTGAAGGCGCGAGAGTGCCCAGTTCAGCCGCGGGCCACGTCTGTAGCCCAAGGTGGCCCTGGCCCAGTACGCTTGCAAACTATTGAGATCACTCTCAATGTTGGGCACGGCGGCCAGCACAGCAGCACCTGCCAGCACTGCGGGAACAATTCTGATCAACACCTGGGCAGCTAGGACACGAACCGGAAACCCGCCCGCCTCCGCTGCTTGGTAAAGCTCATCGAACAAGGAGCGCCCCATGGCCATGGTAGCTTTCGCGTGGGGGGCGAAGGACAGCTCCGCGTCAAGGGTGATACCCAGCATCTTGTGCGTCAGCACGAGGTCGAATCCCATGCCAGTGGAATCGAACATGGGGCTGCCGTGTACCGCCAGGCATTCGGCTTTCCCGGGGCCGAAATTGAAGGCAGCCTTATGCCTCGGAGCATACTTCACCGTGGCAGAAGAAATGGACTGGTCCAGGATGGCCCTGGTCGCCCCCACCGACGGGCAGGCCGCCACCCCGTCGTCGATTTACTGTAGCATGACCAATCCGTGGCGGCCCGCACTCTCGACGACCGCGATGCGGTCTGAGAGTGATGGAAGTTGCGCCAGGGCTGCCGCCGCAGCCGCAACCGGGCACTGGCTGCTCCTCTCTGCCACGGCCACCTGTTGACAAACTTGCTGCGCCTTCGCTAAGATCGTTTCGCGTCCTGCTGGGGCCTCGGCAAGTAGCTCGGCAGGGGACCGGGCGTGGGCCTCAAGCATGGCTGCGCGGGCCCAAGCCGGCGGCGTTGCTCGCGCCCCACCCGGGCACGCCGCCTCTACCTCGTCTCGCAGGTCCCGGAGGAGGGCGGTGAATGCTGGAACAGAGAAGCGGCGCCCTTGTGCCGTGCCACACGCTAGGACGAATGTTGTGGAGAGAAGCCCGTGTAATTCCAGAACCTGCGTGTCTTGCTGCATAACGTCGTCGAGCCACAGCCAGGCGCGCCCATGTACTCCTGCCCTATAAGTGCCCAACAACATACCATTGTGGCCTGCGACATCAAAGCCCCATTTGAGGTCAATAAATGCTAGATAAGTGGCTAGGCCTAAATATGACCGCACTTCTCCAAGGAGGACCACGGCCAGTACGAGCGAAATTGGATCAGATATTCCCCCGACCTGGCTGTCACCGCAGTAGTCCTGGATACATGGAAAATGTCTTTCAACCCATAGTGCGTCCAGGAATTGAGCGAAGTCCGAGCATATGCTGATGGGCCGGAGGCAGCTTGCAGAACGTACAATGCGCGGGCCTGATTTGTGTCGGGGCGAATATTTCCGCAGTGACCACAATGACGATGTGAGGCACATATGGTGGGACAAGTTGGCCAGGCAAGCTGTCACCCTCCTGCCTGCCAGGACCGACGATTTAAGGGCTGCCGTGGCGCAGCCGAGACCACCCCCGCTCTCCCGCAGACGGGAGATGGCATTGGTGATCTCCTCTGCTGTGTAGGGACCGTTGTTAGTGGTTGTGAGCGTGCCCTCCGGCGTGGCGCCTGTTCTCCGCACCTCGCAGATTTCCCGATTCATGGCAGCAGCATCGGACTCGTTCTGCGGGAATGAGTTCTGCGCGCGGGTGAATAAGTCTTCCACGAGTGCCTGCACCATTTGCTCCTGCGACATGGCCTCGCCCGTCGTCGGGTCGTCGAGTGCTACTTGGACAGGCGCGCTCCCCCGGAACCAAGAGGATAGGAACCGTTCCGCTCGACCTGGGTCACTCTCTCGGAGCGCGATGTACTTTTGGAACGTCGCCCGTCGTGTGGCCCACGTTGCCTCTTCAGCTGCTTGC